CAATTAGGTCTGGGACACAATGAATTCATTGGTATACGTTACTACGAACTGCACATCGTGTTTAAAGCAACACTGCGCACCTGATTCGCAGTTTGGTATAAGGCGAGGCGACGACGTTTGGCGCACGAGCCATGAGAGTATGTTATGAAATCACGTCTAGGGTTGCAATCTTCGTTGGTAATTCAACGTTATTTGCATAAAAGGTGTTTTATAAGTTTTGAACAAGACTCGGTATAAAAATCATTTAGATTTAAAACAAGACCTTTTGTAAGCGATTCTGTTAGCCACACGGTTTTTTTTCTAATTAATGGACAGACCTGCTCATAGACATCCAACCGATACAAACTACCTAGTCGTGATTTTCGACAGTTATAGGACGCCCTAAAATTTGATTGCCTATTGCAATTAGCTAGTGTTGTATAAACTAAACTAGGCTAATATAATTAAAAATAACATGTTCAGCACATATACCATTATGAGATGTTATCTGAACAATGTGACGTTTGGTTTGAGACACTAACGCTCTAACTACTAATAATCTTCGAATCTATTCAAATTAAAGGAAAACTCATAAATTCACTTAGCTCAGAACTCAGTTGAACACAAGTTCGAATGAGCTACTATGACTCATCATTAATATACAAAAGTCTTCTAAACCCTTATAGATTTATTACGGACACTTTAAACCTCTAACTAATTAATCAGAGTAAGCTAATCCTGGCAAATTATAACCGAGCTTACACCGGACACAAGCGTCGATGACGAATTCGTTGAACACGTCAAATACCTACGATCACTAATCGGGGATGAAGTAAAGTAACAGCCTATATATGTCCCACTGCTGGGCAAAGGCCTCCTCTGTACAGAGGGTATCAGGGCATAGCCCACCACGCAGCCCCACTGCGAATTGGCGGACTTCACATATGTTCGAAATATTTATTGTCATTATTTCGGAAATGCCTCACGATGTTTTCCTTTATCGATAAGAGAGATATATGTCAGCACTTAAAGGTAACAATTTCATTGGTGCCAGCACCGGGAATACAACTCAGGTTGCTAGCTTATACATACTTTTCTTTTGTATTAAATAAATACATATTATACATATATAAACACTCAGACACTGGAAAAACACGATGTTCATCACACAATATAACATATTTTTCCAGTAGTGGGGATCGAACCCACACCCTCTGGCGCAAGAGGCAGGGTCACTACTCCCCACACCAATCGGTTCTTGCCACGCCAAATTTGTATGTCATATCATTGAAGCACCCCCGTTTCTCTATATTTTATTACTTTAATAACATGTTATATTATCTCATGTACGTAATATTAATCCTTTGCGATGCGAGTAATCGTAGACGCTGCTCTTACGCAAAACTTTACTGTTCAACGTTTGTGTTCGGAACAGTCCGTGCATAATTAATTTCTTAACCGGATTGTTCTCTACGCGTGTACGCGGGAATGTATATGGCTTGTTAGCTGGATCGACTTATACACAAATGAAACTTCGTATAGCTTTGTGCGCGTTGTATTGTGTTTTGTTTCTATAAACTGTTTGAAGTTGTATTATATTACTTGACGAGTTTTGCAGCGTTTGATTTAGGACCACGCAACAATGGTAGCTGTTGCACGGATGGGCAGGTCCGTCCGCGAAAGTACCATGACCTCACAGAGTAACCGGGGCCCACTTTATTGAAAGTGGCAACGTATTTGTGACCTTAAATTAGGTGTTGCCAACGTCCATGAGCGGCGGTTACCTTAACATCAGGTGAACTGCCAGCTTGTTTTCCATCTTCTTACATAAAAAAGAGATGATGAGACTTAGCTTTGGAACTCTATCAAGTCGGCCACAACGTTGACAATGCTATTCCCGTTACGTGTGGCAAAATAGCTTTGACTGTCTTTCTCTCGAAGCCGACTTTGATGATTTTGGCTCCACCTACACTGATATCTTAAACTAATATCATCTTCAACGTGTTTAATGATGCGTATTTTCCCCAATAGTGAGTGTCAAACAACTTTGGTACCAATTATCCACTAACGTGTGCCCGTGGACCCGTGGTTCGGAATTTTATCGTGATTTTAACTTTGACGTTTTGCAAACTTTATCAAAAACATGATACGGAACGAGCAACAACCCTATCGCAAACAATGCCACCACTGGCACATTTGCCAGGCGAAGTGCCAAACTTGCACCCGCATTTCAGCATCACAGCTGAATTCCACAACCCCGCTAGATCCATCGCCTCTTATTAAGTAGTAGTGTAGTTTCTTAATACTTTCACCGCTACGCCCGACTTCGACTGCTTAGCAATGTGCGTAAGTAATTGTAACTAAAGAGTTTCAGAGTTGCCGAGATAATTTAATACAGAGATAACGTTATTGCCGATGGTACGAAATTGAAAGTTATGCGAAAGTTGTACGTTTGTAATGATATTAAATATAATTATATCCAAAGTTAAAGTCATTAGGTGCCCGCAAAGCCAATACGCAGCACTATTTGAATTACTTGAGGTCATTACTTGAATTACATTGAGCAGCAAAAGTTACGGGTCGAAAGTAAAACTTGTCTAGTTTCTTAAATATCTAAAATTGAATTTTGTAACAGTAGTGTGTCTACAGTCAGTAAACGTTTATTTAATATTAAGTCTAGATCATTTATTAATACATAAACTTTCTGCACACTATTGAATTTTGATTAAAATTTACAAAAAATTGTGTCAAAAAACTTCAACTTGTGACAGGCAAAAAATACACAACGCCACCTTTGAAGGTTTTAAGACTTTTTATAAACTCCAATTGTTAGTACAAATTCAGTAACGGCATGCTTTTAACCATATTTAATATAATACGTTTTCATTTAAAACGATTTTGGTATATCTTTTACCATTCTTCTCCTAATGCATTCTTTAACTAGAAAGCTAGAATAAGTAAAGCTAGAATTGAAAATTAAATAATAAAGATTTCAATTTCAAATTTTGATACAAGTACCATTGAAATAAACAACACTAAATGGATTACGATTATAGATTATATATATCATCACCCAAGTAATTCTAATTCGACGTACTTTTTAAATAAATGACCCACGAGGACTGTCAACTTGAAACTGGAATTAATTCTATTTACATACAGAATAGTTTCGAACGTAGACGAGCTGTAATCAAAAGTCGGTTTGGACGGGTGGCGAATTACGTAACTACGTCTGATGTTTTTATTTACGCCATCCATATTTGATTGGACAGTTTGCACTTTATATGAATTTTTACATAAACAGTTGGTTAAACAACTCTTTACCCTTTGCATTGGAGTTTAAACTGATGTCTTTGATTATCAAAGCGAATCAATGAAGGCCATTGCCAATCTTTTTCTAGCAAGAATTTTACAATTGCAGATCATCTAAATCATCTTTTTTTTTCGGGAATTCGATCGTATTTCATGGCAGTCTATGGGGGAGGCCTATGTTCAGCAGTGGACTCAAACAGGCTGAAATGATGATGATGATATATATATATATATAAGAAGAAATCTCCGAAGACCACAATTCGCAGCTCGCACTGCTCCGTCGATTTCTTGCCAGAGGCGCTCCACGAAATGAATTTTTGTCTTTGTATTTTTATTCATTTATTCGTCTCCTGTAAAAAATAGAAATATACGGACGAAATAAATGTTACTTCTCAGCAGCCAGTTGTCAACCGCTCTAACCACAACTTAATGTTGTCTGACAATATCATTCGTAAAATTTCAATGGCTGTGAATGTGGAGTGGGTCATTAGGATCATGGACATTGCAATCAATGGACTCAATAAATTACAGCGTATGTTAATTTAATCCAAACTTGATACGTAACCGTAACAAAGCCCAAATCGATATCGCAATAAACTATAACTCGTAGCATAACCAATACACTAAGCTTCAATCTCAATAAAAGTGTACATATTTTCCATACCAATAGCTTGTAGGCCACTGCACACATTTTACAGAACGTTTACTTATTTATTATTCTAAAACAATGGATATTACATTATATGGTATCCTATATATGTGATATTACTACACGAAATACGTTCAATGCCCAAAAACTACAGCGGACATCATAATGTACATTCAAAACGCACTTGTGTTGCCATATATGTAGATCAAAGTTGGCGGACACACATTGATAATAAACCAGAGAAAATAGAGATTAATTAATATACAATCGCTTATATAGATTCGACTTCGATAACTTGGTATTATTAAAGCTTGATAAGAGATTTACATTAAACTAATCTAATTGTAGTAACCATCTTTCAAGACCTAACAAGAAGCACATTTATTACCAACCTGTATCGCTATAAAAACACGCTAATCGGCATTTAAGCGTTGTAAAACGTCGTTTAGAGCTAACAAAACAAACAACTGACAAACATCCGAAACACATCTAACGTACCACGGGCCCGATACCAATAACAATTTGTAAAATTAGATCACCATTTTTATTATTACAGGGTTCATCTGATGTAATTGAGTAGCTCTATAGCTTGACGAACATCCATTCATACTAACCCTTTGTCATCTAAACACCAAATTCTAATCATTATATTAATATGATCAATCCTGTAAACGAAAATCTACTCTCAAATTCAGTCAGTAATTCTATAGGTGAAACACATTTTCATTATCTTCGGCGAATGACATTTTCTATTGCTCCATCTTTTCTCCGTTTTGATCATAAGTTTAGTGATTTAAAAATATGTTTTCAATTCTCTTCTAATACGTGTGCAGTAATAGCAATGTGGACTGGCGTATCCAATTAAATACACCGTGGGTGATGGGACTTACCGTCGAATTAGACTGGGCAACGATAACGGATCACCAAATAATGGCCTTCCATAAAGAATACTCTGTCCAGCCTAGTCATAACACAGTAAAAGATGAAACGAAGGAGGCCAATTAATTCAATATACCAATCGCTTGATTCGTTATCTCGGCTAATTGCGTTGTCATCTTTGATGTGTTTAGGCGGAGAAGTTCGCGCCTCGTCTTCGCCGATTTCGCGGAGTTCGCTGTTGACGGTGGCGCTTTGTTTACGCATTCCGCCGCTCGCCCGGGAACCGCCCGCTGACGTCAATGGCGGATCTGGTGCGGGGGTAAAAATAACGCGGCGACTCTCCGCGCTCCGGTGCAGCGAGCTCACGCCGCTCGCCACGGGAAGGGGTTAACAGAAACGGAGCAGAGTGCATCAAACCGAATATCATTTAGCATCATCGCGACCGGCCCAGTGTTGACGAGTTTGCAGAGAAAACATGTGGAGTTATTTTAACTGATCCGCTTTATCGATTGGATCGATTCTCTGAATGAAACGAACTCGCCAAAGGGTTCGAAATCCCGTGAACGTTTACGAGTTAGGTCCACTAGTTTTACGCAAATTTAATTTACATAAAGACTGTGAGTATGTTACCCTGTTCCAACATAGATAAGCATGGTTTTAAATCAGTATAGTAGTTACACTGTACATAACTATCGCGCTGCAAACATTTTTTAAACACATAAAATGCATAAAAATAGCACTAGTGGCATAGCATTTGAAATTCTTGTGATCCAAATTGACTACAGCTGTTTTGATGTGCATTTATTAAGTCTTTTGATATGCACTTATCACTAATACAAGAGAAAAAATAAAAACACATTTCGGCTGTCATTTCAAAGGTTTCTTCGAACAGACGCTTTCCGCAACCCTCTGCTACCGGAGTGGTCTGTGCCTACGGAATCCTTCACAATCGCCAGTAATTTATATAGAATCGCACGCTCTCTGCAGAATCGACCGCTAAGCGCATAAGCCCGAGATCAAAGCCAATGCAGCCGAGGTATCTGCAGCTTGCACGGTGGGAGCGCTCGAGTCTGCGGCGACCAATCCTAGACCGCCCACCGCTCAACGGTCTAGCCAGCGTGTTTACGGCGCTCCTTTGTCCGAGCTATTGCCAAACGTTGGCCAGGTGCCAACCGATCCTCCCGGCGTCAGGATGAAACGCCGGTAGGCATCTAAATTCGCTTAAATATGGGTTTTTCATTACGTTGATAATGAACGTTATTTTCATCCAATCTATCGAATGATTGTTGACTTACGACCGGTTTCAATGTCCTATCTATCTGTGGATTTGTTCAATTTTGACCAAGTATTACGGAGGTAATGTCAAATACCTATAGCTAGTAATCAAATCTACAAATAGAATATTAAAACCGGCCGTTTGACCTGAAGTGAAGTACCTACGTATGTCTACTGGTTTGTTTAGTAGAAAACCGCTGAAATTTGATTGCCTTCCGATTATTTTGGACAATATTTTAAACTATGTACACTATACAATACAATTAGCGTCATCGGTATTATCCACTAAAACGTCCATCGATTTTTGCGCTAACCTCTTCGTCTGATTTTCGACGCGACCATAAGGGAATAGTGACACGCGTAATCCTATAAAATAATAACACACTAGATTTCCTCATTATTTGCGTCCTCAATACAATTTTCAAGGAAAAGCAACAGTTTTTCCGACCACTTAGTGTTTACCCTGACCCACTCAATTAACGAGACGTCAGTTAACGATAAAGAAACTAAGTGCACGCTAAGCATCACTCTTACCGGTCATTACCGGTGATCGAGTTACTGTTGTCTTTTGAGATGTGACGTTTTTCCACCAACGACCAGATAGGTCGCAAGCACATATAGAACACCGTTTCAGAATAGTTGTAAAATTAACCATTAGCGTAAAGGAGTAATCGAAAAGAATCTCGGACATTTTCAGTATCACATAAAGGCTTGGTATTTCATATGTAGTGATTTTTTTCCCGGACTAATAAAGGATTAAAAAAAATGCAAATCGTACGTCTAACATGGAACTAAAACTGAACCTGGAAGTAGAATATTAATTGAAATATAGTCTTGTTCATGAAGTTGATAACTAATATGTTGAAAATATCTATTTCTTGTGAGTTACAAAACGAGTTCATAAAACGATTTAATTAATATTATGACAGAGAATTATCCAGTCTGCAATCAAGTCAGACTAGTCTGACAAAATCCTAAGTCGTTTTAATGTTATTGCATATAAATTAAGTTTAATAATGCAGTTGGTTCACATGGGTTGTCTGTATCTTTCATAACAATAAAATTTTGGAACAAACCTACGTAATATCCACTCCAATCAATACTTTAGCTCGATTTATATTCTGATTACTATTCCATGGCAGCAAAGATTGCTCATACTGCCAAGTCGCTACTTGTTTTTTCACATAGGCTCGTCTGAGAACGTTAAAAAAATAATGTACGTTATGATGTCTCCGTGGGGCATTGGCTTCGGCGTTGGGAGTCGTAGGTTCGATTCCCACACGGGACAACTATTTGTGTGACCCACACATAGTTGTTTCGCATCTGGGTGTTTGTCCGCGTGAAATTTATATTTGTAAAACGGCCTTACAACACAGGATAATATTATTCTAAAGTAAGAGCAAAGTTGTTTAATATAAAAAGAAAAGAAAAATGTACTTATCCGTCTTGTCTTTTTTCTCAATTTTTAATGAAACATTTTTACTTCGATATATATACATACCTAGTTTGAAATCATAAATTCTATAGGCGATGAAACGTCTCCAATTTGATCGGATGGGTAGATATCCAATTAATTAAATTAGAAAACTGTACTTATTACGAAGATACTTCGATGAAACTCATCTAGTATCATAACCTATCGAAAGGTTTTTAATAAGCAGTCTTATTAAAATCGTGATTGATGAGTCCTCTTCGCAAAGGTATTGTCCTCCTTTGATTCATTGTTTCGCTCGGAATCCTCGTACAGAGTACTTGCATTGTGTTTGCTTTTGCTTGAAGAATCGCCGCAGGAAAATGTGCTCCTCTTCTTTGAATTCAACGTTAAAAAGAAGCGTTGTCCTTGTCCTCTCGACTGGGGAGCATCTGCTCGCCGATTGGAGTGCAATTTCAAAATAGAACCCCGACTCCACAGGAGAATAGCGTCGCCGTCGCCATATTAAGCAGCACCACGATCTGCGATACCACTCTTAACGGACGAAGTCAAGGGGGGTGGTCAGGGGGGGGGGGTCCAATCCCCACCTCCCTTAGTAGACTTAATATTCGCCTAATAGCCGGCGTCCCCCATCTCAACACTGTCTTTATCTACGTCTGATGGTGATGACACGTTATTAACATATGGCGCTGGGAGCCTGCCTTTTTCGAGGTACGCCTCGGGGGGAAAACTAGCACCGCTTTCCGTAAAGTCGGAGCCCCCTCGATAGCTATAGCTACGGCCCTCCCCTTAGTCGTTCTCCCCTGGCCTTCCCGCCGGGCAGGCCCAGGCGTCTCGCTTCACCTCAGTACCCGCCGGGCGCCCGACGCGACCGCCCGTGCCCACGGCCAAACTCGGCCAGAGTTTCGTGCGCAAACTGTTTACGTCCGCGAGGGCATATTGTGAATTTCACGTGCAGTGGTCGGTGGCATTTGATCGGTAATTCGGACGCGATGACTCAGCCCAACGGCTTCAGGATCTCAGTCCTCGTGCGGCGCTGAAATATTAATAGGGCGAGATGCAGCGTCGCGAGTTGATTGAGTTACAGTAAACACCGGCGATATAAAGCGCTAATTACTGGGTCAGTTTTATTTAAATTGGACGTAAAGCTCTATCCGTTTTAATGGACACGCCATCAGCTTCTTTTTATTTAACTCTTTCTTTCCGCACAATGAAAGGAGACGTTGAATCATTTCAGAATCAAATACAGGGAGCGGGCTAAATTAAACCGTCCATTCAGCATCGTCAACCGTTTGTATAAGGGTGCAAAAATTTCCATTTATGGAACTTACGTGACTGCATTTTACTATTCAAATACTTTACATTAAAAGTACATATAGAATGAACTTCTGATGGCTCCAAAACTCCTTTGAAGTGATTTGTATGTTATTACCGCTGTTACCTTACAGTTTAACTAATTTCAATTCATATGTTTTGCGTATATGACATGTCCATGCGTGATATGTCTCTTAAATGCTTGTATTATTAAAATATAGGTTTTTTCTTAAAATAGAAAAAGCGATTTGAATATCCATACCATCATGCCTGTCGGTAAGCGGTGAAAGAGATATGGTTTGCTACCGTACCAGCCGCAATATCAGTTATATTCTTTCGTAAATGTTATAATCAATTCGCAACATCACCTACATTTTGTATTAAAAAAGTCGAACCGTATAGCAGGAAATCGTTAGTTTATAATGACAGGAAATGAGGACAGAGAAGACCTGGGATGATTCGGATGTTAAAATAAGGCTCCCCATATATATTTACAAGGAAATAAAGGATTTCCGACGTCCCAGAAGAGAGTAGGTACTCAGCAATTCGATTTCGATTTAAAGAAAGCTGGGCTTGCAAGAGGGGAGAGGACGTGTATGAAATATTAGTAGGATGTGTGCTTGGAGAGGAATGCGTTGGTATCGAGCAATGTGGCGTCGCCCTGTCAGCTTTTTTGGGGGCGTGGCTTGAGCTGTTCGTATGTGTTTGAATGTATGTATGTCAGAGTGCGTTTCCCTGTGGTTCAGTTGGCGATTTAATCCGAAGCCCCGCGTGTGGCACGGGCGGTGGCCTCGTTTCTAACGGATTTGAACCCCACTAACGGGCACGTGGCGATCGCCTCTCACGCCGCACTACAGTCCCTCTCGTTACACTGTAACGTTACGCAACAATGTTTTTTTTTTTTTTTAATTGTGCACTTGTCCCTCCAGTGCTGGAGGGGCCAAAAATGTCGTTTCTTTTTCGGATTACTGTTTGATATCTCGATAAAAAGTTGACAGCTCCGGTCATATCCGATCACATCATTTGTTTAAAACGGAAAGAGATATTGGAATGATTATTTATAAAGATTCATTCTTCGCATTCGCCCTCTTTCTAAAGATTTTATAAATTTTTGTTACCTGAGAAATTCGTCATTTGTGAACTAATTTTAATAATTCTTTATGCATCAGGTTCGGTTGAGCGCACAGGTGGTCCCGTATTAATAGGTATTGAACCTTGGACTACGGAAATCCATCAAGGGACAAAGGAAATCAAATAGAAAACGTACAGTGAACGAGATAATTGAACCGGTTTTGTTGTTGTACTTGCACTATGCCAATTTCCAGCGAAGCAATGTACTACACCCTCTAACTCCCTTGTTCTCTTTCGTTTGTAAACGGAACCCTAATTACCATTGAGCCGGGACCGCCATCGTTTGTGATTATTACTGGAATTTAGAATCTTAACTTCAGGCATTTGTATCTTAAATAATTATTTTGATTCGCAATACGCAGCTTGCCAGACGTCGAATAAAAAATATAAATGCCGAGCACCCGCCAAAACTGCTCAATCAAACGCGCAAATTTCCGCTCCAGAACAAACAAACATATTTATCCCACTTCGGCAGCCTTACGCTTTCAAACGAAATCAGATACTTGTTTCGGTTATAACGGCAAGAAAATATCTTTATTATTACAGACTTCCTCTAGACTAAAGTTATAATAAACTAAAGACTAAAGTTATAAGAGTAGTATTCAATTTAGTTTGGTTATAAGTTTAGTTTGATATATTTTTATAAACGTATCCCATATAACCCGGGTTGATTAGTAGAGGAGTGAATACGTATTAAATCTGTCGTTTGTGAATCCTATTTGATATATATATTTTATTATATATTTTCAATAACTAATGAATAAATAAATAAATATAATACTATCAAATTGATAAGAAGCGTAATTTCTCTAACACATAGCAAGTGTTTTAACGCCATAGCACTCTTTGCGCGATCCAAAAATTAAAGAAGCGTTAAAACGTTGCATTATTTTATATAGAATTGATAATCGTCACGACAATATCACGGTAATAATCAATATGTATTGAAATTTTCATATTACGCATTGCTGATTATTTCAGAAAACAAGGGCCGAAATCCTAATCCAAGTATTTACGGAAATTTTCTTTTCATAAAACAGCTTAGTGACAACCTTAAAGACCCTCGATTATTGTCATGATTAATTTTATAAAATTTAATAAACTGGTTTTTACTTTATCCATCCGTCTCCATGCCAATATTTACCTCATAATAATTGACAAGAAAAACCGCCCCAAGCCTCTTGTAGCTTCCACATCAAAGTTACCTCAACTCTACCTGTAAGTTCGTAACTGAGAAATACACAAGAACTGGAAACAATGTAATAAAGAACATTTAACTTTGTCATCTAATAAAAACAAGCAATTACAGTTCAGAGAGCGTTTTTTTCCCCAAACTCGACTGGTATCTCATTCTGCTAGCATAATTGAAATGTTTTTTTTGTTCGTGGGATTCGAATTTTGTGTGAGTCTTACATACACATAACTTGTTTTAAAACACTACCACACAATATAGTTCTAAACCGAGTTTATTGTCACTTCTATGTCTCAATCTTATATTAAATATTTCTTTGAGACATTTTAAGGGTGTCTATGCATACAATTTTACACTACATTTTTTACTAGTTTAGGTCTTAAACTAATATATCCCACAGGTTGTTACCGACGTCACTTGGAATTTATTCATGTAAGTCTTGATAAATGATTAGTTTACATACGTTTGAAGATACTGAGATAGTTTTGAGCTGGAATTAGCCTCATTTCTCGAGCGGACATGTCGCGAATTCAAATTGACACCATCTTGCTTATCAAAGACGGTGCGAACTCTTAACTGTATGCATTAAATTATTAAGCGATCGATCCACCATTGATGCTTCATAAATTATTTACGAACTGTGGAGATGAAAGCTATTGGATATAAATTAATATACGCAATATATTAGAATGTTGGTTAGTGAGAAAGGTGGAGGAGGTACCACTTTACATAAAACCAGTGGGAAGTTGAAGCAGTACACTTTCGGGTTCCGTAATAATAATTACAGTGCGTATAGTTTGCGGCAATGCGCTAATCGAAATCAAATTACTTATATTAGTCATATGAATAGAAAGAAATCAAGATGACAGAAAAATAATATTGCAGAATAAATTGAAATGCTATTTTCCTTCAGTTATTCTAATTATTTCATTTCAGTTTAAGATTATTAGTACTAAAGAATTAAAGTAAAAAAATGTCAATACAGCTAAAAAATATAAAGTACTAACTTTTCTCCTCGGCTCCGCCCGCGTTGGTGCCCTTAAATAAATATCTTTTTTTTTGTAAATTAATAAAAAGAATGTCCTCTAAGAATATATGTATAAAGTTGATAATCGGTTGAGTAGTTTCGGCGTGAAAACGTAACAAACAAAATGGCGTTAATGTTCGAGCTGCATCGTATAGTCAATGCAATACGATATATCCACTCTAATTTTCAGCGATCGCTCCCAATGGCCGACGATCTCCGTGGATCGCGCTTTATTGAATAAAACATACTTTCAATTTGATTGAAAGTCAGCATTTATACGACGGTAAAAGCTTATTGCATGCATGCTACTACTAGATATGTACTGCGACAGGAGAAAATAGTGTTCACAGAGAATTCGCGAACAGAGTGAATGCATTCGTGGATATTTATCGTTAATATGTAATTCAATTGTTTCCGTGCGTACCTGTTATCCAAAATATATTTATGGCTCATATTTTTTTAACACAATAATTTATTATTACTTAAAAAAGGATAGAATTGGTGTTGTTGTGTAGTTAATCAAATTATTTTAAATATATATCTTTAGATGTATTTATTTATAGTATATATGTATATATGTTTCTATTTTTGTTTTATATGTGGCTAAGTCCGCCCTTCGTAACCTCCGTTTAAGGTGTTTGAATAAAGCATAAATAAATAAATAATTATATCTATCCATAATTATTATTTTTTACGAAAATAAGTGAACGACTAGTGAAATATAAATTAATTAATGCATTATCGACGATCCGGGAGTAATGAGTGTTAGAAAACATTCTATGATGAATGTATCCTTCAATGAATCCCTAATACTATGTGATTTACGTCCGGTTTCAATATATAGAATATTGAGAATTAGAATTTCGACGTTAGAGTTTCGGAGCTAATTTCAAATACCCACCTATAGCTAGTTACCAAATCTATCTGTGTATAGAATATTGAAATCGGCCTTTAGCGGTATCGTTTTGTTTTCGCGGTTTGAAATATGCGCTGCAATAATATCACCGAGAAGGGAGTGGGAAGGGATCGTACCGGGGAAAACTTCCGGTATACGGGCACGGCAGATCTAGTCGCTTATTTCCTGCGCCCGGCGACGCTCGCCCGCCCCCAGATAGCTGCCGCACTGCACTACTGCAAGTGAAGTCTAAATACAAACACATCCATTTCCTTAGAGCGTTTGCCGGTTGTATAAAGATTTCGCCGAATGAGGCCACTCTTAGTGTGGGGCTGTAGTTACAAATAAATCACTTATTACGTTTAAAGAATTATAGGGATCACTATTAGGTGCCATCTACAAATGTAAATATTGAAGTTTGTAAGTATTTAAAACGCATCGAAAAACGCGCTCTTTTGACATTTATATTAAAGTTTTG